CCCACCCCTTAGTTTCACCTCAGGGTCCCCCACCCCTTAGTTTCACCTCGGTGTCTCCCCTTAGTTTCACCTCAGGGTCTCCCACCTCACCTCAGGGTCCCCCACCCCTTAGTTTCACCTCAGGGTCCCCCACTCCTTAGTTTCACCTCAGGGTCCCCCTCCCCTTAGTTTCACCTCAGGGTCCCCCACCTGTAGGGGTGATGGTCTCCTTTGACCGGGGCTTTTTCCTCTGGAAGGAAGCTTATTTTTGATGAACCTGTTGACGGCCATCATCTACAGCAAGTTCCGGGGGTACCTGATGGTGAGAGGCTGCCCGGGGCCCAGCTGGGTGACGCTTGAGCCGAGCAGGTTGATCCTCAGCTTCGCTGGCCGGGCTCCCTGTTGGGGGGGGGCAGACAGGGCCACTCTCTCTCGTGGAGGAACTGCAGATACAGGCATGTCATTGTCATAGTCCCCAGGACTATAGTCATAGTTCCCACCCTGTGCCCCTGCCATGTGCCCTTTCCCCTGTGGCAGGAAGCTGTCACATCATAGCATCCAGTGCTGCTGGCTCTAAACCCTTCTGGGACCAGTGCCCCAGGTGCGCAGAGCAGCAGCACAGACCTTGGTGGATCACACAGTGTTCAACCCCACTGGGCCTGGGTCCTCTCCTTCCTGCCTGGACTGTCCCTTGAGTCTCTGTGACCCTTCCTGCTGCCTGAGGGGCTGGATGTCTTTGCAGGCTGTCCGGGCTGCCCCTCTGCCTACCTGCTAGGGGAGGGCGTGTGGCCAGGAGAAGGCCAGGCCATGCCCTCAGCTCTGCTCTCCTTGCAGAAATCTCTCCAGACTTCACTGTTGCGGAGGCGGTTGGGGACCCGGGCTGCCTTTGAAGTCCTTTCCTCCCTTTCTAAGGTGGCAGAAGCCTCCTCTCAGGAGTGAGTGCCAGGGCATGGGCCCTCTCTTGTCTGAGGGGGTGGGTGCTGTTGCTGCTTTGGGAGAGGGAATGGGGTGTTCTCAGGGACTTCTCGGTCACTGTGCCTCACTCTCTGTTGGCCGGCATGGGAGTCAGTCCTCTGTTTAGAGTCACAGCAGCCACATAGCCACACGTCCCAGTGCTCTGTGGTTCCTGGAGCTCTTGCCCTGAGCTGATGTGTTTGTCTTCGGGATTCCTTGGGGGACCCTGGGCTGCTGAAGGGTGAATGGCTGTGGCCTTCTGTCCTTGCTGTCTTGTCACTTCCCACCGAGCTGTTACTTGGGCATCAGAACCAGAGGTGCTTGGATCAGTCGTCTGCTCTGCCATCCTGTTTGGAAATGAGGGCAGAGAGTTTGAGAATGTCACTGTGGAAGGTTCCAATCCTGGTTTCTTGTGGCGGTGGAGTGTCTGTTTGCCTTCCTCATGGGGGATAGTAGTGTCTCCCTTGCAGGCCCGTAGCAGACACTCCATGGCAGAGCCTCATGTCATGGCCTGTGGCTGCTGATTAGATTCATGGGGAAGCTCAGGCCGGACTCCAGGGCCAGGGGACCCACCAGGCCTGGGTTCTGAGGGGGCCCAAGCTGGGGGTGTTTTTATTTTCTCTCCACAGAGTTCGGGTGCAGCCACAGTACTTACTACTGGTGCTTCAGAAAGTCCAGGTGGACAGCTTCCACAAGCAGGCTCTCATGGAGGTAGTGGCTTCCCTCATGCCTGCCCCTCTAGGCCCCTTCCTGGAGGTCACATGGGCCAGCAGCCCCTTTTCAGGACTGGGGATAGGGGTTTGCATCTGCTCGTGGGGTGGGGCTGGGTGGCTTACCTACTCCTGGCCATTTTTCCCTTGGTCTGGGCTGACCACACTTCCCTCCTCTGCAGAAAGTGAGGTCCTTTCAGAACGCCCCCCTGTCAGCCAATGAGTTCCAGAGACTCTTCAACGAGCTTGATAAAAGTGTCGTTAAAGAAGTAAGTGGAGGGGCGGCGCCTGTGGCTCAAAGGAGTAGGATGCTGACCCCATATGCTGGAGGTAGTGGGTTCAAATCCAACCCTGGCCAAAAATTGCAAGAAAAAAAGAAGTAAGTGGGGGCCACTGGGGCTGGTCCAGTTGCCTGCCCAGAGTGGGGCCACATGAGTTTGAGTAGGGCTTTCCAGTTTCTGCTGCTGTTGCCCACCCAGAGAACTAGCTCTTAATGACCACTATCAGGACTCACCGCTGTGATCCTGGCTCCTAGGATGGCAGGTGGGAAAGGGGACACATTTGCCTTCTGGAAACTGGGGAGATTCTATGGACCTGATGAAATTCATGGGGCCCCTGGGGAAGACCTGAGCCAAGCCTGATGCTAAGGTGCCTCTGTGTACATGTGTGTCCCAATCTCCTGTGTTTTTTTGTTTTTTTTTGAGACAGAACCTCAAGCTGTCCCTCTGGGTAGAGTGCTGTGGCATCACAGCTCACAGCAACCTCCAACTCCTGGGCTCAAGCGAGTCTCCTGCCTCAGCCTCCCAAGTAGCTGAGACCACAGGCGCCCGCCACAATGCCTGGCTATATTTTGGTTGCAGCTGTCCTTCCTTGTTTTTGGCAGGCCTGGGCTGGATTCGAACCCTACACCTTAGGTCTATGTGGCTGGCGCCTTAGCCACTTGAGCCACAGGCACGGAGCCTGTTTTTTTTTTTTTTTTTTTTTTTGAGACAGAGTCTCACTCTTGCCCTGGGTAGAGTGCCGTGGCGTTACAGCTTACAGCAACCTCTAACTCTAGGGCTTAAGCAATTCTCTTGCCTCAGCCTCCCAAGTAGCTGAGACTATAGGTGCCAGCCACAACGCCTGGCTTTTTTTTTGTTGCAGTTGTCATTATTGTTTAGCTGGCCTGGGCTGGGTTTGAACCTGCCAACTTTGGTGCATGTAGCTGGCGCCGTAACCACTATGCTACGGGCCCCGAGCCATAGCTGTTTTTATTAGGGCACCATTCGGACTGGACCAGAGCCCACCTTAGTGATCCTATTTTAACCTAATTACCTCTTAAAAGGTTTTCTCCAAATGCCGATTGTGGGGAATAGGGAGGCCTCCACATTTGATTTGGGGCTTAGGACTTCAACATAAGAATTTTGAGGGGGATGAGATTTAGCCCATAACTACCAACTGCTGTGGGGTTGCTGTTGGCGTCTTGGGCCGCAGGCCCCTGTCAGAGGCAGCTTCCTTATAAACATGTTTTCTCCAGGTCTTTCCAGACCGTTTGGAGCCAGGTCCTGCCATGGGTACCACATGCTTGTCCTATCATTATTTGGGGCATCCCTTCTAGAACATTGTTGCTCAGAGCATGGCACCCCATACCTTGCTGGGGGCCTAGGAGCCACATCAGCAGGTGACACTGGGTATTCATCAGATTTCTGCTCGGCCAGTGGGGCTCCAAGTTAATGTTGACTTGAAGGAGAGCCTAAGAGCATGCTCTCACGTGCAGACTGGGGGAAGCTTTGGAAGTGGTCCTCACATGACAGAATGTTGGGAAGGCACCGTGCTGGATAATGGCCCTTGTCCTGGGTCCACAGGTTTGTTGGGCCCAGGAGGCAGCCCTTAGCAGCTGTCACAGGCTAGGTTTGCTGTGATGCCGTGATAGACTTGAACAGGGAGAAGCCCCTGTAGTGGTCGTTCCATTCCTTGTCTGGCCATCTCCTCTGAGGCCTGCAGGACACCGTCCCTTTCCTACGGTGCCCTGGGACCTAAAGTCAGAGCTTGGGTTACAGAGGTTTTGGGTGCCATGATGTCCTTGCCCCAGTGTCTTCGTTCTCTTTTGCCCCAAGATGCCGTTGTGGGGAATAGGGAGGCAGTATGTTGAGGACTGGTTTCAGAACTCCCCACAGATACCCCCAATCCTCAGATACTCAAGTTCCTTCTATAAAATGGTGTCATATTTGTAGATAACCTACACATCCTCCTGTGTAATTTAAAGCTTGTCTATATTACTTAAAAAACCTAATACGATGTGGATGCTGTGTAAATAGTTATTATGCTATACTGTTCAGGGAACGGTGACAAGATATAAAGGTCTGTACATGTTCAGTAGACTTTTTTTGCCCTGAATATATTCGATCTGCAGTTGGTTGAATTTGTGGGTCTGGAACCCATGGATACAAAGGGCTGACTGTATTTCACTTTTGAAAGGCAGATGCTTCTAGGATTGCTACTGTTTGGGTCAGGAATCACTCTTCCAGAGAGGTGCTCTCTGGGCAGGCTGATGTCATGGGACCGCAAGCCTTTTAGGGAGCCCCCTTATTGGGTGGTTGTGTTGTCAGGGGGCTGCCAGTGTGTGCTGTCAGCTGCAGAGATCATGCCTTTGCCAGCTGCTGAAAGAGGTATTTTATTTTTATGAGAAGCTTTTTGGGTTAAAAGTGTAGTATTCATTAGAGATAACAGAGCAAAATGTAAAAACCACCATATTGTGCCTCTTCCCCAAGACAGACACTACAAGCATATCAAGGTTTACTTCTTAATTACACAGGTAACATGTGACTATATTCTTCTTGTGAAAACTTAAACATAATGGCTAATGCTGAAATCTCTGTTGGCCAGGGCATCATTCTGGGTACAGCTGGGGGACAGAAGCAGTCCAGTGGATGAAACAGAGAAAGTGTAATACAAGGAAATAGCAATGATGATAAGGAGTAGCTGTGAGGTGGAAGGAAGCTCTTTGGTACCTGAGGGCCAAAGGGAAGGGCCTTGGAGGGGACCCTCCCCAGGCCAGGATTTAGAACCCCCACTCCCTTTTTTTGAGACAGAGTCTCACTTTGTCGCCTTCGGTAGAGTGCCATGGTGTCATAGGTCATAGCAACCTCCAACTCTTGGGCTTAAGTGATTCTCTTGCCTCAGCCTCCCAAGTAGCTGGGACTACAGGCACCGACCACAGCGCCCAGCTATTTTTAGAGATGGAGTCTCACTGTGGCTCAGGCTGGTTTTGAACTTGTGAGCTTAGTTGATCCGCCTGCCTCAGCCTCCCAGAGTGCTAGGATTACAGGCATGAGCCATTGTGCCTAGCCAGGACTCAGACCTTTTCAGAGAAGGTGTGATTCAGTCCACAGGGTGACAGAGATGTTTAGATGTAACAAGCAGTCACCTTAAATGTATGCAAAGTGTTCACCTTATCAATGGTGTGTTAGCAGCCCCGAAAACTCAGCACAGAGAACAGGTGGGGCAGGAAGGCATTGGTGGGCAACCTGGCAATACGTATGGACATTAAGACGTGGCGCCTGTGGCTCAAGTGGCTAAGGCGCCAGCCACATACACCTAGGGTGGCGGGTTCGAATCCAGCCTAGGCTGGCCAAACAACAATGATGGCTGCAACCGAAAAATGGCTGGGTGTTGTGGCGGGTGCCTGTGGTCCCAGCTACTTGGGAGGCGGAGGCAGGAGACTCGCATGAGCCCAGGAGTTGGAGGTTGCTGTGAGCTGTGATGCTACAGCACTCTACCCAGGGGGACAGCTTGAGACTCTGTCTCAAAAAAAAAAAAAAAAGTATGGACATTAAGATGCACTTGTGGGACCCAGCACTTGGGGTTGCCTTGCGTTGACGTGTTTCACTTGGCTGCTCTGCTGGGCTGGAGCTGGTCACTGGAAGCAGGGAGCAACCCTCCTGGCTCAGGCCAGCAGCAGGCAGTGGCACAGGCTGACAGACGGCATTGGTGTGGGCAGGTGGCCTTTGGGTCCTGGTTTTTAGTTGAGGACTGTGGAGGTTGGGAGGTCAGGCTATTAGCAGGTCAGGCTGCAGCTGCAGGTCACCAGGGGACTGTGTGTATGGGTGTGTGGGTGGGACAGAGTGTCAGCATGTATCCCACCACATGGCATCTGGAACCTAGAGGAGAGCCTTGCCCTCCTGCCACATCCTTCCAGTGCCCTCTACTGAGAAAACTTCACCTCGTGCTCATTGCAAAGGAGAGATTCTGGAAGGGACCCTACCCATGTGGTGGTCGGATATTGAAGGGTGAGTTGGGCATTAAGAGGCAGTAAATTGATAATTGGCACAGCTAGTTTGGGTGCAGCTCCCGGAATAGCCACTCTCGTGGATTTGACATTTTGCTGTTTCTTTCCAGACTTATTCCCATGCAATTACAGATATATATGCGTACCAGAAGAATCATTATTTTGTTTTTCTTTGATGTGTAAATTAAGTGTCCTGGCTCTTCACCAGTAGCTCAGTGAGCAGGGTACCAGCCACATACACTGAAGGTGACGGTGTTTGAGCCCAGCCCTGGCCTGCTAAACAATGACAACTGCAACCAACCAAAAAAAAAAAAATAGCCAGCCATTGTGGCGGGCACCGATAGTCCCAGCTACTTGGGACTCTGAGGCAAGAGAATCGCTTAAGCCTAAGAGTTTGAGGTTGCTGTGAGCTATGATGCCACAGCACTCTACTGAGGGTGACATAGTGAGACTCTGTCTCAAAAAAAAAATACCAATAAATAAATAAATTAAATGTCCTAAGTTTTGTTCTGCAGCTCACTCTTTTTCACTCAGCAGTGTCTTACAGATCTTTCCATTTCACATGGAACTTTTTGTGGATATGCACTATTTTCTTTGCCTGTGTGATGCCTGCCACTTGTCACAGTAGTTGTCACTGAAAATGCAGCAATTGTTGCATGTTACTGGTTTGAAATTTACATTAAATAGCCACATGTGGTCTGTGGTGGCTCCTGTGGTCCTGGGCTTGCTCCTCCTGCTGTGTCCTGGTACACTCCCTGAGGGGTATTTGGGATGTTTCCATTGTCTGCTGTAGTCACCATGCTGTGACTGTCCTCAGGCACACACAGCAGGAGGTCATGAGGGAGGTTGCTGAGCTCAGGAAGTGCTGGGCCTTAGTGCATCCTAGTCGTAATGCCCTGCTCCCTGCTGCTCCCCGTCCCTCCTGTTCACTGTGTGGGAGCCATCTGTGCTAAGTTTCAGGGCTACAGCACAACAGTGTACATTTTTCACGTGGCATTTTTCATGTTGTGGGGACGCTTGGCACACATTTAAGATGACCCCATGATACTTCATGTTTTACTTACATGCTCGGAGCACATTCAGGTTACTTCTCCCCCTCTTTTGGTGCTGTACAGACCACTGTCACAAGCGGCTTTGTATATAAACTGTTTCTATGTTTGGGGCAGGCTAGGGTAGGAGATAAGGTAGCCCCAGGGTGAGAAGTTGCAGGCGTCCTATGGGCAGGACTATTTCTGAGCATGTGTGTCCCCCGCCTAGCACCCGCCGAGGCCCCAGTACCAGTCTCCGTTTCTGCAGAACGCCCAGTTCTACTTTGGCCACCACTACTTTGACTACCTGGGGAACCTCGTTGCCCTGGGAAACCTCGTGTCCATTTGTGTGAGTTCGGGGTCCTTTGTTGATGTGGGAGGCTCCTATGTCCTAGTCCCCTTGCTGACACACCTGCCCTTCCTCCCTTGTTCCCGTGTTTTTCTGGGCCCGCTTGGCGAGCCTCACCCTCACGTCTGGCTTTGCAGGTGTTTCTGCTGCTGGATGCAGATAGGCTACCCGGTGACCATGTGAGTCACTTCATCCTGGGGGTAAGTTCTGAGGTCACTGTCTGGCCAGACTGTCAGCCCTGCCAGGGCATGAGGGTCAGAGCAGCTGGAGCGTATGTTCTTCCTGCCTGGGGCCCCGGGTCTAGCAGGACGCAGGGCTTCCTAGTGTAGGATGAAGTCCTGTCATGTGGGGTACAGGCACAGAGGGTGGGAGGGGTGCTCCAGAGGAGGGGATGCCAGGCCCTATGGTGGGTGGTTGAGGCTGATGTAGGCAGAGGCAACAGTGGGCCCAGGCCCAGGCCAGGGTGAGTGAGCTTGGTGCAGTGGGCTCAGCGGGTGGATGACAAAGTGTCATGTAGAGGAAGGAGACCCGAGGGGGCAGCTGCTGAGACCATAGTTGGTTTTCCTACCTGGCTGACTCTGGGGTTTGAGCTTTTTTTTCCTTGGCTATTTCCCCAACTTTTTCTTGTGAATTGTGAACTCCTTTCCTAATATTGAAAGGTGTAGTCAAATTGATAGGAATTTAAAAAGCTTTTCCAGTTTGGATTTTAAGCAAAGCAGCAGTCTGACCTCTGTGTGATTTTGTATCGACACCTTTGTAGAAGGTGCTATTGCGTGTAACGGACAGCATCATGGATGCTATGAAGCTGACGGAAGCCATGAAATTTCCCCTAATTATGTCAGAAAAGCTCGATTTGTCAAATTTAAAAAAGGACACATAATATTGTGTATGTTAAATGTAGAGTGAAATTTATCATAGTATTGAAAGTGGGAAAATGGCTTTCCTGTTTTTTTTTTTTTTTTTTTTTCCCATATATGTAGTTCTTTTTTTGGCCGGGGCTGGGTTTGAACTCACTACCTCCAGCATATGGGGCCAGTACCCTACTCCTTTGAGCCATAGACGCCGCCCTGTTTTATCTTTTTAATGATAGTTTTTTTTTTGAGACAGAGTCTTACTATGTCACCCTGGGTAGAGTGCCATGGTGACACAGCTCACAGCAATCCATAACTCTTGGGCTTAAGCAATTCTCTTGCCTCAGCCTCCCAAGTAGCTGGGGCTATAGGCACCCGCCACAATGCCTGGCTATTTTTTGGTTGTAGTTGTCATTGTTGTTTGGCAGGCCCGGGCTGGATGTGCACCCTCTAGCTCTGGTATATGTAGCTGGTGCCCTTGCTGCTGAGCTACAGGAGCTGAGCCTTAATAATAGTTTTTTAAGCACTAGAGTCAGCTTGATTGGTTGTGAGAGATGGCTGGTTAGAGGAATGGCTCGTAGGGGCCTCCCAAAGCCCGTCTGGGGGCTATGTGGGATTCCGTCCCTCTGTCCTTCTGTGACTCTCCATCCTCCTACCTTATAGCCATTTCCAGTGGGAGGGGTTGAGATAGATCAATAAGAACAAGTAAAATTTAGACTGGACACCTGCGGAGGCCTGTAGGGCTCAGTTGAGGGAATGGGCACCCTCGACAGTCTGCCCAAGGTCTGTGCACACACAGGTAGGGTCCCATATGACTCCCCCCATTAAGGGAAGAGCTCCTTGATATTTTGTTTACTGCCTTTAGAAAAGACAGTGACATAGTCTGAGACCACCTTCAATGAGGATTCCCATGAAGTTATCCCCAGGGTTTGGGAAGATACATCTGTGAGCCCAGAGCTTCTGCCCGGGAGGGGCACAGCGAGGGGTGGTCTGGGTGGGGGCGCAGATGGGTGGTGGTCAGTTAAGCATCCCCTCATGCACAGGTCACAGAAGAGAGTGAGTGCCGGGCCAGAAGTGGGGTGCAGGGGGTGCCCTGCATGTGAGTCAGGGGGCCTGGGAGGGGCACAGAGAGGTGGGTGGAGGCAGTGATGTGACTGGGGGGCCCTGCCCAGTCCCTCATAGTCCAAGCTGAGTGTCAGGAACGTGGAATGACCGCCAGGGCTGCGACTGGGCACGGCTGGCAGCACTGGGACCCGACGCTGGCGCCTCTTTGCCCCTTTCAGAGCCTGGACTTTGTCTTCATCCTGTACTACCTGCTGGAGATGCTGCTCAAGATCTTTGCCCTGGGCCTGTGGGGCTACCTGTCCTACCCCAGCAATCTGTTTGATGGGTTCCTCACCACAGCGCTGCTGGTAAAGTCGGGGCTGAGGCCTGGCCTCTCCCGGGTGGGTGGTGTGAGCCCCTCTGCGGTTTTGTGCTGTGTCTCGTCTCAGTCCCTAGAGGACCAGAGGGCCTCCAGCTGGCTTCTCCTGGCCCAGCTGCTTGGTAGACGGCTGGTGGGGGCTGTAGGAGCCTGGATTCATGTTGCCTATGAGCGTCATGGGGGCAGGGTGACACCCCTGGTCTCTAAGGCACGCCTGGCCCTTAACCAGAGAACCCATTCCCCAGCACAGCCTCTGATGTCACCGTTGGACTATGCCACCTTGGTGTGGGTGGAGTGAGGGGCTGGGGGTAGCCACAGGCACCCAGGATACCTTGGGAAAGTTACACTTTCTTTTCCCCAGACACTGTGGGAGCGAGGGTGTATGTCACAGGAGCAATGTCAGAGTGACGTTCACTTGTATCTGACTGACTAGAGCCAGTAGGCCCCTCAGAACATGAGTGCGGACAGTTTGAGAAGGGCCTTTCAGTCCATCCTTGACCAAGTAGCTTCTCCGCCCCCCACCCCCCAGTTGAAGGGGAGGCCCTGACATCTGGAGCCAACACACGGGAAGAAGGACCAAGCTCTGGTTTCTCCCCCAAACCTCCTATGGAGGAGAACAAGTTAGATGTGAGGTTTATAATACATTTAAGACCCACCCAGATTAGCATTGCTGTAGTGATGCCTTCTTTTCTTTTGTAATTAAAGGTTTTGGAGATCTCAACTCTGGCTGTGTACCGTTTCCCACACCCAGGCTGGTATGTGACTGAGGAGAACCGAGGGACACTACAGCAAACTGCCCCTATGTAGCAGCCCCTGGGCCGGCCTGCTGTCTTTTCTGGCTCGAGGGCAAACTGCTGGGCTGGTGCAGCATCTGCCCAGCTGAGGACTGTGGGTGCTGAGCCCTGCTTGGCCCCCCTGGGGCCCTCTCTTTAGGGGGTTAGCATCCCTGAGGCTGTGTTGGGGAATGATTGTGTCCCCTCCAAGGCACCTTCTAGAGCAGCAGTGGGTGCCCTCCTAGCATCATGATAGGACATGTGGCCCCAGATGTGTGTGGGGGGGTCTGGATGCAGAGACGTCTGAGGCTTAGGTTTAGGGGATCTGTGGTCACTGGGATTGAGCTGGGCTCCTCTGCTCAGGCCCCTGTGTAATCTCCGCCCAGTAATATGACTTTGTACATCAGTTTTGATAAACTATCATGGCTCTGGCCTCAGAAAGACGGCTGGGCAGGGACCCTAGGGAGCCTCACAGCGTGGCAGGGTGCCAGCCTGCTGCTGGGACCAGTCAGTGAGGCTCCTCTGCCCATGAGTGTGACAGCCATTGGGTAGGAATTGTGAGGCTCCCATGTGGCTGGCATGAGAGGAAGAGGGTGGGTGTGGCCCAGCAGGGCAAAGGCCCGGCTCTCTGATATCTCTGTGTGAGCTGCCTTCAGCTTGTCTGTGCCACCTTCCAGTGAGCAGCTGGGGGTCGCTGGGGAGGGGTGCAGGGCCATAGCTCCCTCACTTGTGCAGCCACCTCTCCTGGAAGCCTGTCAGGACTTATCTCTGGAAAACAGGCAGTGTCATGTGGTCTCGCCTCTCATGTGCCGTGAGTGCCCTGCTGCACTGTGTCTGCGTTGTCACCTTGGGAACTGTGGGGTGACATTCTGGGTGAGAATGAGCTTAAGTTTAAATAGACATGAAAAAACAGAAAGGCCATGAGGGATGCCAAAGAGGGATGGGGGGAAACAGGATCAGAGGACAGGGTCATGGGACAGGAGATGGGGTCTGGGAACAGCGGATAGGTCAGAAAATGAGGTTGGGGTTAGGGTCGCAGGTTAGGAGGTGGAGTCTGAGGATAGAGTGGGGGCAGGGGATGAGGTCAGAGGTTATGGTCATAGCTCAGGACATGGGAGATGAGGTCAGGGGTCATGGTCTTGCTTCAATTCTGGTGGGACCTGGCAAGGCCCAGCCCCCAGAGCCTCAGCATCCTCCTGTGTAAATGGGGACTGGTTGCCACATGCCGCTGTGAGGCTGGGCTGGAAGTGGTTGCCTGGCCAGGGCTGCCCTGGACGGCGGCTCTGCCCTTTTCTGTTATGTGTGGGCTACAGGTTGTCCCAGTCACGCTCTGTCACCCTCCTGCACCTCTGTCCTTGGGACCTTGTGATGCCCTGCTCTTCTCTGTGGGCATCCCGGGCCTCTCACAAGCCATCTCCCGTGTGCCTGTCTCCAGGTGGCCACAGATGCAGGGCCTGCTGTCGCTGTGGGACATGGCCCGGATGCTGAACATGCTCATCGTGTGCCGGTTCCTGCGCATCATCCCCAACATAAAGGTGCGCGCGTGCGGCCTACACGGCCCCGCCCCTGCTGTCAGCTCCAAGGTGGGCGGGCCCAGGGTGGCCAGAGACTGGGAGCTGTCCCCATCACCCTGGGCACTCTGGGGCACCTCAGCTCTGCCTCACCCTGCAGTGCTGGATGGGGTGATGAGAAGGACGAGGGTCCAGCCCTGTGTGGCTAGGGAGGGGAGCCGGGCCGGGGCATGGTGGGAGTTGCTGTATGCTGCTCCCCAGGACCCTGGCACCTATTAAACTGATGTCCCCAGGTCACCTGAGGCTTCCTGGAATGCCTTTGTCACAGGCTTCTAGGTGCTGGCAATGAGGGGCAAAGGTATGGCTGGCCAGGGTGCTCACTTCTGTCTCTCTGATGAAAGGACGGGGTGTCTCATGACACCTTGGAGCCTTGGGTTCTCTTAGTGTCTTTTGAAGGTGGGCAGGCAGCGTTGATCAGGTGTTTAGGCCCAGCGCCCTACTCTTGTCTCTCTTTTCCTACGAACTTGTCAGGGGAACAGAAACCTGAGGATATCAGACCCTCTTTTCAGAGTCCAGGTCCTCCCTCTGTCCTTACTCATCCTTCTGCTGAGCTGTGTACTGCCCCACCTGCGGGTTACCTTTAGCCCCCTGATATTTCAATGGGAAGATGGCTCTGGATCCTGAGCACAAATGGGGGCTGCTATGCTGGGGGCTTCATAATGCACACACACACGTGCACATGCGATCACACACAGTAACACACAACCATATGGTTACACACGCATGATTATACACCTGCATGCACATAGAGGCATGCCTGATCTCACACACATGTGATTACATAGTACAGTCATCCGTGCACATGACCCTGCCCCCACACACATACCCGGGCATCCACATACATGTCTACATAATCTTTGCACCCGTGATCCCATGTATATGCACACAAACTCACGCATGTAGACACATAATATGTGCATACGCACAGGGAGTCCTCATGCATGTAGACCTATCACGCGTGTGCACAAACACGGAGAGTCCTCATGCAGCACCCTTGGTGGGGTCTTGGAAACTGACTTTAAGACAGATGATGTGAACTGAGACCAATTTTCTTTCCTTATCAACATTATAATGAAGTGCCATTGAAGGAAATGATGTTATGCTCTATGTTGTTTTGTGTAAAGTCAAAGTTTCCAAGCACCTGTGGGTGACCTTACACAAGGACTTCCTGTACATACACAAAGCACGCCTGTGTGTGTGTGTGCACGTGATCGCATGTGCAGGCATACACATCATACCTTGTGCCTCATCTCTGGGCGGTCGCACACCCGTGTGTGTGTGTGTGTGTGTGTGCATGTGATCACATGTGCAGGTGTACATATCATACCTCGTGGCTTCACCAGGGGGTCACACACCCATGTGTGTGTGTGCATGTGATCACATGTGCAGGTGTACACATCATACCCTATGGCTTCACCTCCGGGCAGTCACACACCCGTGTGTGCA